TGAGCTTTCGTGTGCATGCACACTTCTTCAGATACACTGAAACAGAAGTCACCAGACCAATTGCAGTCATTAACAGTCATCAACAGGGTGGTGGGAATGGGTGATAGGCTGATAGGTGTGGTAAAGGCCAAAGGATAAATGGACATAAATCTGATATCAGGAATCACAAGACAGAGAAACCAGTAGGAGAACACTTCACTCTCCCAGGACATTCTATACAAGATCTCAAAGTAGCTGTCTTATTACAAAAGAACTTCAGAAATAGACTGGAAAGAGAAGTTGCTGAATTGCAACTTATTACCAAACTTAAAACCATGGAGAGACCTGGTCTGAACAGAGACATTGTATTCTTATCTCATTATACATGATAAAACTATTTTTAGCCATCTCACCCCTTGCTTTTTCCTGTAAGACCAATGCCAGTCTTAACAGTCCTCAACAGGTTTACCACACCTATCAGCCAATTACCCATTCCCACCACCCTTCTGAGTAATACCCCTCCCCACCCTCTCACTATAGATAAGGGTCTGGTGACTTCTGTTTTAGTGTATCTGAAGAAGTTTGCATGCACACGAAAGCTCATACCAAGAACAAACTTAGTTGGTCTCTAAGGTGCTACTGGAAGGATTTTTTTAATTTTTTTTTTACTACAGCAGACCAACACGGCTACCTACCTGTAACTGGTACAAATAGTGTTTGGAGTCAAGCAAACTGCAGTAGAATAGAGACACCGCTGACTGTCAATTACAGATTGGAACAGAAATCATGGTCTTGTTACATCCCTAAATTCACCACAGCTTTCATTATGCACCCACATTTCATACATCCATAAGAACTTGGACCAGAACCATAAGCACGCATCGTTGTACCTGTGTGATCTTTTGTCCCATGGTTGGTTGGTTGTTGTTGTTGTTGTTGTTTGCAGTGGTGGTACAACATTGCCAGTTCTGGTTATGATATGGTGGGACTAATGTGACTGACCCCATGCACATTTTCTGTGTATGTGCCTGGATTTGTGCATGTACATGTAATAATAATAATGAAGGTGCCTAAAGAAGCCAGGGTGGCTATCTAAAGAACTTTTAACTGAGTTAAGATTAAAAAAGGATGTGTACAAAAAATGGAAAAGGGGGGAAACCACCAAAGAGGAATTCAAACAAATAGCCAGCACGTGTAGACACAAAGTCAGAAAAGCTAAAGCACAGAATGAACTCAGGCTTGCTAGAGAGGTTAAAAGCAACAAAAAGGCTTTTATGGGTATGTTCGTAGCAAAAGGAAGAACAAAGAAACAGTGGGGTCACTCAGAGGAGAAGATGGTGAAATGCAAACAGGGGACACAGAAAGGGCTGAACTCCTCAATGCCTTCTTTGCCTCAGTCTTCTCCGATAAAGAAAACAATGCCCGACCTGAAGAATTTGGAGCAAATGATTCAGCAAAGGAAACACAGCCCAGAATAACTAAGGAGATAGTACAAGAATACTTGGCTAGTTTAGATGTATTCAAGTCTCCAGGGCCAGATGAACTGCATCCAAGAGTATTAAAAGAACTGGCAGATGTGATCTCAGAACCACTGGCAGTCATCTTTGAGAATTCCTGGAGAACAGGCGAAGTCCCGGCAGACTGGAGGAGGGCAAATGTTGTCCCTATTTTCAAAAAGGGGAAAAGAGAGGACCCAAATAGTTACTGCCCAGTCAGTCTGACATCAATACCAGGGAAGATTCTGGAGCAGATCATTAAGCAAACAGTCTGTGAGCACCTAGAAAGGAATGCTGTGATCACCAATAGTCAGCATGGATTTCTGAAAAATAAGTCATGTCAGACTAACCTGATCTCGTTTTTTGACAGAATTACCAGCCTGGTAGATGAAGGGAATGCAGTGGCTGTAGCCTACCTTGATTTCAGCAAGGCATTTGACAAGGTGCCCCATGATATTCTTGTAAAGAAGCTGGTAAAATGCGGTCTTGACTATGCTACCACTCAGTGGATTTGTAACTGGCTGACTGACCGAGACCCAAAGGGTGCTCATCAATGGTTCCTCTTCATCCTGGAGAAGAGTGACTAGTGGAGCGCCACAGGGTTCTGTCTTGGGCCCGGTCTTATTCAACATCTTTATCAATGACTTGGATGATGGACTCAAGGGCATCCTGATCAAATTTGCAGATGACACCAAACTGGGAGGGGTGGCTAACACCCCAGAGGACAGGATCACACTTCAAAACGACCTTGACAGATTAGAGAACTGGGCCAAAACAAACAAGATGGATTTTAACAGGGAGAAATGTAAAGTATTGCACTTGGGCAAAAAAAATGAGAGGCACAAATACAAGATGGGGGACACCTGGCTTGAGAGCAGTACATGTGAAAAGGATCTAGGAGTCTTGGTTGACCACAAACTTGACATGAGCCAACAGTGTGACGTGGCAGCTAAAAAGCCAATGCAATTCTGGGCTGCATCAATAGGAGTATAGCATCTAGATCAAGGGAAGTAATAGTGCCACTGTATTCTGCTCTGGTCAGACCTCACCTGGAGTACTGTGTCCAGTTCTGGGCACCACAGTTCAAGAAGGACACTGACAAACTGGAACGTGTCCAGAGGAGGGCAACCAAAATGGTCAAAGGCCTGGAAACGATGCCTTATGAGGAATGGCTAAGGGAGCTGGGCATGTTTAGCCTGGAGAAGAGGAGGTTAAGGGGTGATATGATAGCCATGTTCAAATATACAAAAGGATGTCACATAGAGGAGGGAGAAAGGTTGTTTTCTGCTGCTCCAGAGAAGCGGACACGGAGCAATGGATCCAAACTACAAGAAAGAAGATTCCACCTAAACATTAGGAAGAACTTCCTGACAGTAAGAGCTGTTCGACAGTGGAATTTGCTGCCAAGGAGTGTGGTGGAGTCTCCTTCTTTGGAGGTCTTTAAGCAGAGGCTTGACAACCATATGTCAGGAGTGCTCTGATGGTGTTTCCTGCTTGGCAGGGGGTTGGACTCGATGGCCCTTGTGGTCTCTTCCAACTCTATGATTCTATGATTCTAATATCATTCTCAAATATAAATACTACAGTCATACTGAAAATTTGTATGGGCAGGATATTGATAAAGTTACCTGCCTCCTGTCCAGACATGCAGAGCAGGCTGACACAGGAAATCGAATGCACGACTCTATTATGGCAAATTGGAATAGAAATCAATTGAATGGTGAGCATGAAAAGGAAATTCAATATTATAATTAAAAACCAATTTAAAGAGTGAAATGTCAATAGAATGATTGGCTACTATGAAAACATTTACATGAAATTACCGAGGTAATCCCCCACTGAGGGAAAGCCATGATTACAACTAATGAATTCATTCTGAGATCAATTTTATATTAAAAGCAGCTTTTAATTCATATCTGCTTTGCTGACAGTTCCTAATACTATTCAAAGTGAGGAAGCAGAGCTCCAAGAGTGGGATGGAGGAGGGAAGGAGAGAAAATTAAATGGGGAAAGTGGTGGTGAATAGAGGACAGCCCCTGTTGTGTTCTCCCCTCCAGGTACAGGGAGGAACCTTCTCTGTGTAGTAAAGCTGAGTGGGGAGAGCTTTCCTGACACTGGTTTTCCCCTCTGCCACCATTGCTACTGGAAGCAGCAGCTGGATCGGAGTAGCCAAAAGTTGCAGCAGCCCAGAATGACAGTGGCCTCTCTGTGTCTTTTCCCTAAGATTCATCTGAGGGAATGGTCTTGCAGCGACAAAGTATTCTGAATCAGAAGAATCTTTATTTGCATCAGCCATTTTTGTTGTTGTTGTTTAGTCGTTTAGTCATGTCCGTCTCTTCGTGACCCCATGGACCAGAGCACGCCAGGCACTTCTGTCTTCCAGTGCCTCCCGCAGTTTGGTCAAACTCATGCTGGTAGCTTCGAGAACACTGTCCAACCATCTCGTCCTCTGTCGCCCCCTTCTCCTTGTGCCCTCCATCTTTCCCAACATCAGGGTCTTTTCCAGGGAGTCTTCTCTTCTCATGAGGTGCCCAAAGTATTGGCGCCTTAGCTTCACGATCTGTCCTTCCAGTGAGCCACTAGCCATAGCAATAAAATAAAATGTACTGAAGATAGAGGTAAAACCTAAACTATACAAAATACATTTTGGGGGTTTATGTCAATAATCAAATAGTAGATCTAATTTTAATATTGCCCCTACAAAAAATCTTACAGTTTTTGCTGTCACCTGGTTATCTTGATCTGCTAAAAGATAGGACACAGTAGCAATGGTTGAGCAACCTGGCGGGGACAATAATAGAGGGGCAATGACCTCACTCCTCAAATCTTTATAAGAGTGTAAGTCAGAAGCACATGAGCCACTGACTCAATACTGCCATCTCCACATGGACATAACTGTTTTTCCAGTGGAATTTTTTGAAATCAAGCACAGCCGAGGGCAGTATATTCCATCTTGCGAAAGTGAAAGCGCGTCTGTATTTTGGAATTGTTAAATTTTGCAAAGAGGGTGCCCAAGTGTCAAAATGACTAGGTGGAAAATAATCATGCCATGGACAAAATTTCCTTATTGTGGCCAGTTTATTCTGTCGCTTGATATCATATAAAAAGGTAAAGGGACCCCTGACCATTAGGTCTAGTCATGACCGACTCTGGGGTTGCGGCGCTCATCTCGCTTTACTGGCTGAGGGAGCCGGCGTACAGCTTCCGGGTCATGTGGCCAGCGTGACTAAGCCACTTCTGGTGAACCAGAGCAGTGCACGGAAACACTGTTTACCTTCCTGCCAGAGCGGTACCTATTTATCTACTTGCACTTTGATGTGCTTTCAAACTGCTAGGTTGGCAGGAGCAGGGACCGAGCAACGGGAGCTCACCCCATTGCAGGGATTGAACCGCCAACCTTCTGATTGGTAAGTCCTAAGCTCTGTGGTTTAACCCACAGTGCCACCCGCATCCCTTGATATCATATAGGCACTGTCTAATTAAATTATTTGCTTTGCTGAAGCCCAGTGTTAATAACTGTTGTGGTGATGCAAGGGCGATCTGGCTGCGACATCTCTCACCCCATTGATTGTCAGGGTTGATTTAGCTGACCTGGCTGGCTAGATGGGTTTCCCCTTTCTCTCTCACCACTCCATGTGCGTTCCTCTTGAAGCGGCGTGCTCTGCGGAAGTGGACGACCATCCCAGATAGAAGAATTGTAGCTCAAGGTCCAACAGTGTATTTCTTCACACAGTGAATATTACAACGCAGGATTTGCTACCACTAGATGTGTTGCATACCAGTTTGAACAGTTTCAAAAAGAGTGTGTGTCTCATTCATGGAGGATAAAGTTAACAACGGCTAAGGTTGGAGGATAAATTTGGTTTGGTCCACATTGTAACGCAAACCTACCTAGCTGGTGCATTTCTGAACTGATGCAGAAATGTGGTGAACTCAACTGATGTATGGAAAAATGAAACAAAAACAAAAAACCTTCAAAGCGGACAGATTTGTCCATTCCTAGCAATGGCTGCTAGTCATGAAGGTGTTTACAGTGGTACCTCATGTTACGGACGGATCCGTTCCGGATGCCCATCTGTAATGTGAAATACCCGCAAATTGAAGCGCTGTGTCTACGCAGGCGCGTGGCACGATTTGGCGCTTCTGCGCAGGCGCGAAGTGCAATTTAGCACTTCTGTGCATGCACAAGTGGCGAAACCCGGAAGTAACCTATTCCGGCACTTTCGGGTTGCCGCGGGACGTAATGTGAAAAGACACAACATGAAGCAGACGCAACACGAGGTATGACTGTATATACTACAGCCAGTATCACAGGCAGAATGTCTCCAAATAACACACACAGCTTTATTGTGGTCTGCTTCTCAGCCTTTTGGCTAAGATCAAGTGTGTATCTGAAGAACAATATCTGGGGATTACGGACTATATAGTCCCATTTTGCTTGTGGGCATCCCAAATGCATCTGGTTGTCCACTGTGGGAAAAGGATGTTGGACTATGTTTAGTCTTATCCTGCAGGCCTGCTCTTATGAGCGTCTGGAAGGCTCCCCAAAACTCCTTTAGCATGCTCCTCAGATGCCCAGTTGCACACCACTTAAATGAGGATTATGGGAATGCTTTGTGTCGTAGTGCTTCAAAGTGTTGTCCTCTGAGGCAAACCAACTCTGGAAAGGCTGCGCTGAGTTTCTCCCTGCTCTGAGGGAGAGGGAACGAAACAACGCCCTCTTCCCCCACAACTGTCTTTATATTAGAAAACATGCTTCAGTGTTTCTAAAATAATCCCTGTGTAATCTCTTTATAGCTTTCTAATGTTCGTATTCCCTTTTGTTCTCTTGGATACATACATTTTCATGAAGTTTAGTGATCTATTCAGGCCTCAACACAATATGCATTCGAAACTCCCTCTCAATGACAAGGAGAGCTACTAAGGGATTTGTCTGGTGGTGCCATTCCACCGCCGACTTTGCCTACAGTAATTTATTAGCATTAGCAGAATTCAATTACAGATGACACATAACAATAAGCAGACATTAATTAACGCTAAATACCCAAATTACTATGCGATGTTACTTCTATACTAATTTGTCCATTTATTAGTTCTGTGTTGCCTCTTAAGAAATTAAATGGCAGATATATGCGTTACTACATTTCCATATTAATTTGTAGATTGCATTCTAAGATTCATTGTTATGTCCTGTCTTTTATGGTCTTTCTGCTCTATAGTTTTAACGAAAGCCACGTTGCTAGCCCGGCACCAAGATTAGTGGGGGGAAAGCTGGTTTTGACACTAAATGTCAGCAGTAAACCTCCAACATTGAAATGAACTTGATGCATAGTACATTTAGTTATATGCAGATCCTGCAAATGTTGAGTAGAAGTGAAGCATAGTGATTTAGTGAGGGCTGTAATTTCGTATCAGGGATTCACTGTCATTCAACATGCTTTAAGCAAGTCCTTCAAAGAACCTTTCAGCACCTGAATGAACTGCATAGACAACAGAACCAGCCCACAGGCATCTTGTGAAAATATGGAAACTATCCTATACATTCTTCAAACACTACTTTGTGTGTAAATAACGCAGACCTTAGTTTAATAGAAGTGAGACTATTGTTGATTTAGGGTATTCAAGCAGTACCAAAAATGCAAATACTGTATGTATTTCCCCCCAGTTATATACAAACTCTCTTCCATGGTGCATTGAGCTCCTGGTTCTACAAAATGAATTTTCTAATCCCGGTGTTAGTCTGCTAATTCTAAAAAGCACTTCTAACTCATTGCTTAATATTGGTGCCTAAACTAAGGTTACCAGATTTTTTTTCAAAGAATCCGGGGACACTTTTTTTTTTAAAAGAGAAGTCAATTGACCGGGTGGCTGGGTGCTCTTGCGCCAGCTTGATTTGGGTCATGGTGTGTGTGTGTGTGTGTGTGTGAGCAGTTCCCCCTTGGCATTGGTGGCGGCAGCAGCAGTCTCAGCAGCACAGACCCAGCCTGGTAGTGCAGTTGGCTCTGGCTGGCTCCAGGAGCTGTTCGCTGCTGTGGTGTCTGCCATTTTGCCTCGTCGGAAGTCCCCATATGATGTGTCTTGTGCCGTTGAACCAATCACACAACATTCATTCCCTACCAATAAATCTACAACACTTAACATATAAATCCGGGGACATTAAATGAAATCCGGGGACATTCCAGGGATGGATTTTGTCCGGGGACAGATTTGTAAATCTGGGGACTGTCCCCAGAAAATGGGGACGTCTGGTAACCATAGCCTAAACAGCCTAGTTGAGAGATATACTGAATGACGTCTTTCAAACGCAACAAATGGCTACAGTGGGACCTAACTGTGACTAACTTCTCAGGAGTGGTGCAAAAGAGCTGGAGAGGAGTAATCAGCAATTTTCCACATCGGGGTGGGCAACATTTTTGACCCCAACGACTGCAAGCAACAGTGGGTTGGTGGTGGCATGGCAAGAGTGGGTGATGGTCATGTCTGCCAGTGGAAGTTACTTAAGTCAGTGGCAGGCATGGGCATCCACAAGATCATTCATATTCATGCCCACAAATATGCACATTCCTTCCTTTCCTTAGCCTCCTTCTTTAGAAGTAGTATTAGTTTGCATCTTCCTCCTCCTTTTAAAACTCTATTTCCCTTCCCCTTCTTACTGACCAGAGAACTTCAGATGCATTGCTTTCCCATCACAGAGCGCAATAGGTAGATGTCTGTTTCCCTGGTTGGAAACAGTAATAATAATAATAATAATAATAATAATAATAATAATAATACACCCATCTGACTGGGTTTCCCCAGCCACTCTGGGCAGCTCCCAACAGAACATTAAAAACACAAGAAAACATCAAACATAAAAAATTCCCCTAAACCGGGCTGCCTTCAGAGTGCTGGCTCAATTGTCTAGGCCACCAGGATTCTTTTCAGCACAAGGCAGCACAACTGGGAAAGGTACAATCTCTGTAGCTAAGTACAGTGGTACCTCGGGTTACATATGCTTCAGGTTACAGACTCCACTAACCCAGAAATAGTACCTCGGGTTAAGAACTTTGCTTCAGGATGAGAACAGAAATCGTGCTCCGGCGGCGCGGCGGCAGCAGGAGGCCCCATTAGCTAAAGTGCTGCTTCAAGTTAAGAATAGTTTCAGGTTAAGAACAGACCTCTGGAACGAATTAAGTACTTAACCCGAGGTACCACTGTATATAGGCCAGGTAACACAAGGTGGGGACACGGACGGCGCTGTGGGTTAAACCACAGAGCCTAGGACTTGCCGATCAGAAGGTTGGCGATTCGAATCCCCGCAACGGGGTGAGCTCCCATTGTTCGGTCCCAGCTCCTGCCAACCTAGCAGTTTGAAAGTATGTCAAAGTGCAAGTACAGTGGTGCCTCGCAAGACGAAATTAATTCGTTCCGCAAGTCTCTTCGTCTTGCGAGTTTTTCGTCTTGCGATGCACGGTTTCCCATAGGAATGCATTGAAAATCAATTAATGCGTTCCTAGGTAAACCGCCTTCAGACCCGGTCCGGGGACAGTCTGTCCCCGGACCTCTTCTGAAGGCTGGGGGGGGGCAAGGGCTTTTCTTCCCACCCCCAGCATTTTAAAAAACCCCGGGACAGCGGAGGACTTCTCCGCTGTCCGGGCGATCTTAAAATGCTGGCGGGCGGCAATTTAAAATCACCCCGGGACAGCGGAGGACTCTCCGCTGTCCGGGGCAATTTAAAGCCCCTGGGAAGGCAGGCAGGGGGACAAAGACTTTTGCCCCCGCCAGCCTTCAGAAGAGGTCCTGGACCTCTTCTGAAGGCGGGCGGGGGCGAAAGTCTTGCTCCCCCGCCTTCAAAGCCCTCCGGGACAGGCAGGCAGGGGAGCAAAGACTTTCGCCCCCGCCCGCCTTCAGAAGGTCTTCCCTCCCCCCGCCCGGCTCGGAGCACCGTTCCGGCCGGGCGGCGGCGGAGGTCTTCCCTCCCCGCCCGGCTCGGAGCACCGTTCCGAGCCGGGCGGCGGCGGAGGTGTTCCCTCCCCCGCCCGGCTCGGAGCACCGTTCCGAGCCGGGCGGCGGCGGAGGTCTTCCCTCCCCCGCCCGGCCGGAGCACCGTTCCGAGCCGGGCGGCGGGGAGGTCTTCCCTCCCCGCCCGGCTCGGAGCACCGTTCCGGGCCGGGCGGCGGCGGAGGTGTTCCCTCCCCTGCCCGGCCGGAGCACCGTTCCGAGCCGGGCGGCGGGGAGGTCTTCCTCCCCACCGCCCGGCTCGGAGCACCGTTCCGAGCCGGGCAGAGGCGGAGGTCTTCCCTCCCCACCGCCCGGCTCGGAGCACCGTTCCGGGCCGGGCAGAGGCGGAGGTCTTCCCTCCCCCCGCCCGGCTCGGAGCACCGTTCCGGCCGGGCGGCGGGGAGGTCTTCCTCCCCCGCCCGGCTCGGAGCACCGTTCCGAAGCCGGGCGGCGGTGGAGGTGTTCCCTCCCCGCCCGGCTCGGAGCACCGTTCCGAGCCGGGCGGCGGGGAGGTCTTCCCTCCCCCGCCCGGCCCGGAGCACCGTTCCGGGCCGGGCGGCGGCGGCAGGTGTTCCCTCCCCCGCCCGGCTCGGGCACCGTTCCAGGGCGGGCGGCGGCGGCAGGTGTTCCCTCCCCCCGCCCGGCTCGGAGGAGCCTCCGAAGCCCGGCGGCGGCGGGAGGAGGTGTCCCCGCCCCGCCGCCAGGCTTCGGAGGAGGTCCGAGGACAGTGGGAAGACGCGCTGCGCTTCCCAGCTGTCCCTGAGATTTCCCTATGGGCTGTCGTCTTGCGAAGCAAGCCCATAGGGAAATTCGTTTTGCGAAGCGCCTCCAAATCGGAAAACCCTTTCGTCTAGCGGGTTTTCCGTCTTGCGAGGCGTTCGTCTTGCGGGGTACCACTGTAGATAAATAGTTACCGCTCTGGCGGGAAGGTAAACGGCGTTTCCGTGCGCTGCTCTGGTTCGCCAGAAGCTGCTTAGTCATGCTGGCCACATGACCCGGAAGCTGTACGCCGGCTCCCTCGGCCAATAAAGTGAGATGAGCGCCACAACCCCAGAGTCGGCCACGACTGGACCTAATGGTCAGAGGTCCCTTTACCTTTAACACAAGGTGGGCTCTTTGTGGGTTCACCAAAGCTTTCATTTTCACTCCTAAACAATTCTCTTCGCTTGTAAATGAGCATTACAATTGCAGCCTCAGTGTTGTCGTTGCTGGCTTTCTGCACAATAACTTTGACATCAGGTGTGGGGCCAGTGGGTGTGGCTTCCCCCAAATGGCCTGGCAGGCGAAATGGAGAGGCTTGACAGGCCACATTTGGTCTGTGAGCCAAATGTTTACCCCCCCCCCCATTTTATACCCACAAACAAGAGCACCAATCTTAGGAGAAGGGGCTGCGCTGCAACATAATGCTGCAACTTGTAGGCCTCACTGTGGAATTCCTAAAGAAAGGCACAGGGTTTAATATTGTGTGGCAGAAAAGCTGAGAAGTTCAGCTTTGCTCTGCCTTCCTTCCTGTCTTCACAGTGTCAATCACACTTTTTGT